TAATTTTTATCAACTGCAAAATAAATTGTTTAATAAAACATGACTCCGTTGGAATTAAAAAAAAAAAAAAAAAAAAATTTTATCTTCAATCTTTAATTAATTATTATTTCAAAATAAATTGAATAAAATCTATATTAACCTTAACTAAAAAAATGAGTATGATTCATTTATCATTTAACAAGAAATTCGAGTTAGATTATTTTCTTACGGAATAAAATGAACTCTAGAGAGCGTCACATGAAAGAAATTTAGAATATGTTTGTTCGTTACTATTTTTGTATTTTCGATGCGTTGCTGGATATATAAAAACAGAATTTAATGAACACTCGCATGTGGTATAAATTGATTGGCGTAATCAATTTTCTAAATAAACAACATGTCTCAAGAAAATAATCAAGATGCCATAAGAAAATGGGAAACATGGATGCACAATTTAATTATTGAAGAAAATATCCCATTTTATCAATATTCCGAATTTGTGAATGTATATTCAATTGGTGAAAACGTTTATAATGCCACTTTTAAGATTTCACAAAAAACTGTTACGCTTAAGTGTATTTCTTTAAATGATAAATCTACATTGGGAAATTTAATAAATGATGTGGGTTAAATTAAATTATTTCGATTATTTGAATTTTATTGCTAAGATTTTTTTTTTTGTTATTTTATACAATTTTTTAAATCAAAAAAAAAAAAAAAGATCAAAAGACATAGAAAATTGGGAAGTCATGATAACATTCTTAAAAAATTAAATATTTTACATCTTTACCTTGTTTAGAAATACCATAGAATTTAAGAGCCGATAATTAATTATTTAATTTAATTTATTTTTTTAGAGAATACCAACGATTACATGATTATTCTTGAATATACAAATAATGGTTATCTTCGTCAGTATTTGAAAAAAAATTTCCAAAATTTGGATTGGAATACTAAATTAAATCTTGCTAAACGAATTGCAAATGTTTTGATGTATTTACATTCTAAAGACATTATTCATGGAAGATTGGTAATTATTTTCTTATTTTAAAATATATTTCACGAATTAATTATTTAATCTAATTTAATTATTAATTTTTATCATTTTACAGAATTCCGAAAATATTCTTATTCATGATGAGAACATTAAGCTAAACGTTTTCGGACTAAAAAAAATCATACCCGAATCTTTAAGATTCCTTACAAATACTATCGGTCCAATTCAATATATAGACCCTCAATATTTGGAAAATTTCAACACAATTTGTAAAAATAAGAATTCTGATATTTTTAGTTTAGGAATTATACTATGGGAAATTTCCAGTGGCAGTCCTCCTTTCGAAATGGAATCTTCATAAAATATTGATTTATTGGATAACATCGTGAAAGGCAAAAGAGAAATAATTATACCTGGAACACCTACTAAATACAAGGAATTATATACTGGTACAAATTTATTTAAAATCATCCAAGTTAATTGAATAATCAATAATAAATTATTTGGTAAATTTAATTTATTTAATAGATTGCTGGAATCACAATAGAAATTCGCGACCAGATATTTCTCAAGTAGTTAAAAATCTTTCGGAAATAATTATCCCAGAAACTTCTCAATCACTACCTCATAATGTTACAGATGAAATTATCATCGTTAAATTAGAAACTCCTCGATCACAAGCTAATAATGTTACAGATGAAATCATTTCTGTTGAATTTGAAAAGACAAAAAAGTTAGTTGTATTATTTGCATTTTATATTTTTATATATTTTTATATATTTATTAAATTGTAAAATATTCTTTTTTAAGACAGGAGGATGACCTAGAAATGAGCGAGAAAGTCCTTTCAATTCTTCCAACTCAAGAGGAACAAATCGAGATTCCGAAAGATCTTGCACCAGAAAAGCTTTTGGAAGTCTATAAGAAGAATGGTCAGTTTAATGATGCCACCAAATACTTACGCTCGCTTGAAAAATCCCAAGAAGCTTCAGTCATGCTAAGCAACAATCTTGATAAAGATGAAAATATTATTGATTCTTTCTGCTACCTTTTACATTCTTGTAGAGTAATTATACTTGTAGATACGATGAACAATGATAAAAGTACATTAAAAGAAAAAGAATTACATAAATTACTTAACGATGCATTAGATATCACCACGAAAGTCAAATCTCAATCTTTAAAGAAATCTGAGAAGTGGAGTAGACTAATGGAAGAGTTCCAGTTATATTTAGCTTATCGGAAGAGTGACTTAAATGAAGTTCATAAATGCATACAATCTTTCAAGAGGCGTAATGATACTATTATCGAGTTTCAGGCATTAACCATATGGTTGAAAATTCAACCAAAGTCCATTAATATTGAGTATTGGCATGAACGATTGCAATATCTAATAAGGCTCTGTGAATTAGCCTATGATTTTATAGACCCGCATAAAAATGTTCACAACAAAGAGAAAATCAACAAAAATTTCGAAGAAATTTTTTTCGTTGAGGAAGTACAAGATCGCCCAGATAAACGGAAAATTTCTTTTGATGATCTGCTTGTTTGTCATATAATCAAAATGTATGACAAAAACACAATAGAGGATTTGAAGGTTTATAACGTGGATATTATGTACAAGGCAATCGCGAAGTTTCTTGCTTTATATATAGATGATCTTATATCTAAGGCCCACCACAAGGGTAAAGATATTTCAGACATAGCTTATGAAATTTGCAACGATAGTGTGAAATGTAAAAGTCATTATTGCCAGAAGCATCACTTGATTCCAACGCCATCAATTCTTCACAAACGTATTACACTTGCATGTCTTCAGTACACTGTAACACGAAAATTAGATACAATATGCTTTTGCATACTTTCCTATAGAAATATAGCTATACAAAGGTTTTGGGCAGAAAGATTAATAGAATATCATTTTCACTATCAATCCCCACAATCAAGTTGTCCAGAGATTACTCATGCAGCAATCATCAAACTTCCTAGACACACATATAATGGGCTTGTTGACCTCATTTATAAAGTTTGGTTAGGTAACGAATTTGATCCCTGTGACTTTGCAAAAATGTTGAAATGCATATTTGTTTTGCTTCAGTTACGGTGCAAATGGGGCATTGATAAATTTCATTTGGAAATAAGAAAGAACGAAAAATCTTATAACAACTTTGCAGCCCAAGTTGCAAAGCGACTTGCATTATTCGTAGAATCTCTCCGCACTAACTTAGTGATTGAGGCAATAAATCAATCAAAGAAATTCATTAATTATGCTGTAAAAAATTCCGAACAAGTTAAAATAGATACGTCTAGAGCTTTTAGTGACCTTACATCTCTTATAGAGTTCACGACGTTTTTGATTTTGGCTGCTCGTCCTGGATATTGCGATTTTTGCCTTCCCCGAAGTTATTTGGTTAACTATTATGATGTATTCGACTTGAACCCATCTCTTATATGTCTAGAGGGCATAAATAAGTACAATATAATAACCTATAACAATGAAATCACGGATTTATTCGATCAAGTTAAAAAGATTCTCGAAGAGATTATTGGTAAGAATGGGAACACGCATAACTCAACAATTATCCTTCGGTTGATACGACTTCTGACCATTATCTGTCTGAACGAATCCACTTTAACACCTGGTGTATTAAATTATTTTAAAATCCTGGGCAAAAGACTAAGCAACGAATTTTACAATAAATATCTGTCAGTAATTAATCAAAGCCATTTTGTAAATATTCTGGATGATGACCTTAAAGAGAATGGCTTTGATTCACTAGTTATAGTTTACCACATCTGGGGAGGAATGTCTAGATTTTCTTGGGAGAAATTTGGGATCACAAAGATTTCATATCGTAATATTGAAGAATTTCGTTCTTCTCTTCGGAAAATTACAACCAACGTCCCAAACGATCAAATTTCATTTCAGCCAGCTGATGGAAGTGAACAAAATTTTGCTCCAATCTTTGTTGAAGATGATCGTGATGATGACGATGGCTATCGTGATGACGATGATGATGATTATGGTGATTGTGATGATGACGATGATGATGATGGTTCCGATGATGATGATGGTTACGATGATGATGATGGTTCCGATGATGATGATGGCGATGATGATGACGATGGTGGTAATAATCGTGATGATGAGGTGAACTAGATACAGCCATAGTCTGGTTCCGTGAGATTCAAACAGTCACAAGTATAATATACTCTTAATAGTAGATATCATTGCAGAACTTAAAAGACTGCAAGACAGAATGAATGAAATTAAGAATAAATTGAAAAGAAAAAAATTGTTAATGACTATAGATCTTGAAATTTATTTGACTCATTTTATATATATGTGTGTTGTCCCAGATCGATGCTTGCCTCAGATTAAAACTGGAAAAAATTAAGGTTAGAAAACGAATTACAACAAGCGAAGGAAAATTACTGATTTGGTTCGTGAATAGATAGAAAAATGTAATGAATTTTGAGCGAGTTTAGATAATTAGATTTGGTCTTATAACGATTATGTATATATGTATGTTGGTTCTCACCATTTGTAAATAAAAAAAAAATATTTTGAGCCCAATGAATTGAATTTTAGAAAATATTTTCCAATAATATAATATCTTAATAACTGACAAGAGAATTACAATAAAATTTTTAAAAATTTTTATTATCTTATTAATATTATTTTAAAAGAAATAAGAATTTGGTGTATAGTAATTAGAGATTAGATAAAAACTATATTTTACTATTATACGTTTATTTCATTATTTACGCAGAAATTCAAGATAGGTAACTATGCATTTCTGTTTACATATTTACATATTTTTACATATTTAGCATTTTTTCATCGTATCGATAATAAATATTTCTAAAGGACAACATTTCCAATCGTTAGATAGAATATTTTCACAAATTATGTTCCATCGGACCAAGATATTTTATATACACGAATGAATACTACTGGTATTGTTGAAACTATATTTCATTTGGGTCCAATTGCCTATCGATCAGTAAATCTGTTGTTTTATATTTATATCTTTACATAATTCCTTTATTAAATAATATTCTATTTCATCTCTTTTTATCATTTTTATCATTTATTTACTATAGAATGTTTGATATAGGTGCTTAAAAGATTCGAACCTAAAAAATGGATTCATTATTTTGAAGATGTGGCAGCTGCATTATTCTTATTTTATTTAATTATTAAATATAAATTTTATAATTTAAATTCTTATAAAAAATCTAATTCTAAATGCATATACTGTATGTATTTAATTCTATCCATTTTCGATTTTCCGAAAATTCCAAATATGCGGCACTAAATCATATTTTATTTAATATTTCGGTCATTTTCAATGACATTATTTAAAAAATAATTTAAAATCTTTTAAATTCATATAGAAATTAAAGGTAAATCGTTTTAATGATTTCGGGAAGTGATTTCGAGAGTTCTGAATAATGCAATGAGAGGAATGAAAAGAATGAAGCTGAAATCTAGTAAATTACAATAAAAATATTATTTCTAATAATTAATCTATTTTACATTATATATTTATTCATTATTTATATTTCGATTCTACATTACTATCATCACTATCATTATCATCTTTGATAATCAATTTATCATATAACGAATTTATAGATAATAACTAGATATTTATTTTTTTTTGGGTATCCACCACATAAATAAGATTGGAATTGACAATGTTAATTAGTGTTACAATTGTTATACATTTTTTTAATTTAGTTTAAAAAATTAAATTAAGGAGAGTGTTAAGATTTTTATTTTTATTAAGTTTA